AGTGTGGTGCAAAGACGTTAGAGAGTTTCAGGGTGGGTGCATACCATACATATCTGTGGGGTTGGGATTCTCCTCAAGAAATTTCTGTAAGTATTAAACCACGGAGGACTTACTCTACATGTCCGTTTTAATTCAATAGCAGTGAGTTTCAGAGTCCTCGGCAGAGAAGGCTTCTGAGGCTAACAGTCTTTGGTAGGTAATATTGATGTGACCTGTTACTCTGAACACTTGTGGATTCTGTTCTGCTGTCAAATGTGGTAAAAGCAGAGCAAAGATAAAAATTAAATTAAAATAATTCCAAGAACAGTTCCAAATCTAGGTGTTGATTATTGGAAAGGGGTGAACATACTTTAGAAACTCAAAATAGCAAAGGGATGTTTGGTGCTGTCTAGCCACGCCAGGGAAGCCATGCTCCCCAGGGAAGGAGACGGAGCAAGGGAGTGCCGATGCTGTGTGACCCCGTATCGCTTTGCACTTTTGCAGGAGCTGGTGGTGCTCTGCCACCTTCACCACCCCAGCTTGATATCTCTGCTGGCTGCTGGGATTCGTCCCCGGATGCTGGTGATGGAGCTGGCCTCCAAGGGTTCCCTGGATGGCCTGCTCCAGCAGGACAAGGCCAGCCTCACCCGGACCCTGCAGCACAGGATTGCGCTCCACGTGGCTGATGGCTTGAGGTGAGAGTGTGGCTGCAAACTTGCTGCCAGGCTCTGTGAAGAGCACTTTGCAGTAACTTTGCATCCCACTGGTATTTTCCAAGCAGTTTGGATGGCCACTACTGTTTCTTGGACCCAGTTTTGTAATTTCATAAATTAATAGCAGGAGGAGCATGCAGCGCCTCAGAGTGGAATTCTGCTCTCTATCTCAGTCTTAACCTCGTTCTGACCTCCCTCTCCCGAAACAATGTAGGTTAGGCTTCCAAGCATTGAAGTATCAATGAGCTAATTCTAAGATTGGAGGAGAACTGAGTCAGGTTCAATGGCTAGGTTTAATGTTGACCTTATGGGGAAATTTGATTTCTGCTTTCAACCAATTCAGTTTACAACCAGAACTGTGGAAAGAATTAAATTCACAAACCAAGGCCCCGCTGTAATTGGAGACTTCCTCGCCTCTGGTTTCCTGGAGGTTTTCCACGGAGTCATCCTTCCTTCATGTATTTTTCTTGCATCTCACACCTAAGAGTCCTGCAAGTATTCTCAGCCCTGCAACTAAAATGCATCCTCACGCGGCCTCCTCTCACAAATCTCTCTCCCCCGCTGGGTTTAAGCCTCCACCACCTCTCGTACCCAACTTGTCCTCGCCTTCATTGATATCCCAAGAAATCGGTCATCCTTTTCACCACAGTGAGAGCAGTGTTTCCTCCATGAGCTGGGACTCTGTCTTTTTCCTGTTGACCCTCTCCCGTTCACCTACTGCTCAGTGCCCTCAGCCATTTGCTTCATTTGGCTTTACTCTTGTCTTATAGTCAGAGCCACCGCGGCTGTCTGAGGATGTCCCTGGTGGCTCTGTGTCTCTGGTGTCA